ACTGTATTGTTGTCCTGCTTGCAAAGCAGTTTTGGACCTGGCGTCATCAGTGCAGATGGTGCTCTACTCCCCAGTGGTGTGCACACTCCCCTCATATGGCTGAATAGCAGGTTACCTTAACAATACCCTTGTATGGAAGATCAACATTTGCATGACCAAGTGTGATGGCAACTTCCATGGTCTTCCCTGCAGGGACTTGGGTCTTGAATGAAAGATGCTCAGTTGTCTCCATTTTGTTCTCCACACTATAGGTGTCTTCAGTTCCCACTGTCCAGCTGAATCCAGAGGAAACCTCAGCTAACTGCGGGATTCCTGTCTTCACTTGCATGTTGAAGGTGAACTGCATGTTGTTGGTGACAGACCACGAGGAGGTCTTGGTTATGGTTTTGGAGGTTTCCAGGGTGTACTCCTGGGCAACAGAGGAGCTGTTGGTGTACGTCATGGACTTGATCTCCTCCATTTTCACCTGGGGGATGACTTGGTTCAGAGTGGGGTTCTCCATGTTGGTCATGACTGTGGATTCGATGGAATTGATGAAGATGAAGCCCATGCTGTCAATATCTGAGCCTGCCCGTCCCATAACCCCCAGGCAGATCCCCGAAGCCACATCCATGGGGTACTCTGTCTTCAGCCCCCAGTCGGTGCCAGTCACTCGGATTTGTCAACCTGCTTTGATTAGACACCTGCACTCAAAAAAAAATCTAGTGCAAATCCAGCATTTTAACGGGGAGCCCATTAATTCTCAATAAGCTTCATCTTGTACGGGAATATCTGTTCACGACGACAGTTGAAGTGCGTCAATACTACAGTTACAGCATTCGTACAGGACATACAACAATAGTCCTCAAACGTTATTTGTCCGCTGAAGACAGCGACACAGCAGAAAGAGGTTCTCTATACGCTTATGGCATCAGTTAGAAAAAGTAATTGAGGCACCACGTGCACACAAACTAAAAAAAGTGCTTTTATTCGTGTTAAAATAGCGAAGCCAGTCTAGCAATATTTTCCTTAGCGCCATACTAGCTCTTAAATATGGACAAAAACAAACGATTAACAATAACACTCAAAACTCTAACCACCTCAGCTGTAGTTCAAAGGAACTGCCAGTGTAACTCTAACCTTGTGAAGCTGCCTTATGAAGGGATTAAGGACACTCCATCTTTTAAAAACACTTAGACACACCTGCTGTCGATTGCTCGTAATTCACAAGGTATTTTTTTGCTGGCGAGATGGTATTTACCTGAGGTAATCTATCAGTTGCAAACCTTAAGTGAACGTTTTGGAGACACGATCAAAGTCACACCGCATTCATTTTGTAGGGCATTAAATCGCGTTAATAAGTGATTTTCTTTTTTTTAAATTAGTAAGACAATTAAGTTGGCTCCACCATCATTTACCTTCAGATTCACAACACTGCTACGAGGAAAGAAGAAGCTTAGATTGCACTGAATTGCTCTTCGGAAAAACACAGAAAAGCTTCGGAATCAAAGTGAGATTTAAATGTGAAGTAGTATTAAATATCAGTAGTAGAATTCACCCAATATAACAGGAACACAGCATCTCAGTCCATGTAGGTCCTATACATAGGATTGTACTAGGCTTCAAAAACCAATAATTAAATGCAGTGTTTATGTGCAAAAAATACATTATTATTACTTACAAGGTTTAATTAAATATTCAATTAAATATGAACATTTAAAGCCCTGTTTATTCAGCATGATATTTACTGGAGCAATTGAGCAACCATGTTGCTCATCCATAAGTTGCCCAACCAAATAACATCATATGGAGCCCTCATATTAAAGACATACATCATTTTCAGAGTTATGTATAGAAACAGTTTAAATGTTTATTCCTGACTACAATAATTCAAGTTTCCAAAAATTCTCAAATTACATCAAGTAGTAATAAAGTTTTGATCTAGTTCAAGTAGGTAGCTGTGTCAACATGCATAGGCTGCAAAGGAACAAGAAAAGGTTTATTCCATGGTGAAAAAAGAAAAGATACACATTGTTTCAGCTATAGAGCCTTCTTTAGGTGTCGTCTTTTTCTGGTACGTGAAGACACCTGAAGATGACTCCACAGCCAAATCATTGTGACTCCTTTCTTTTTTTTCAGCATGGAATAAACCTTTGCCAACACTTGACATACCTACTAGAAGAGGGGTGTATTGTCTTTATTACAGTTTCAATAAGGCAGGCATTAGTATGTTCTAGTATGTGACAACACATATTCCCTACATGAGTGAAAAACAATGTGAATTCATGCTGTTGCTGTGTTGGTTTTCCAGTATCATTCTTCTAATCACTTCTGATTAGATTAATTTGATTTGATGTGTTCAGAAATTAGAATTGCAAAACTGGCATGTTACTGGTTAATTATTCTGGTAGTCCTCCATTAATAATTTTGTTTGCTTCATATTTAGAGAGATGTTTGTTTATCAATAAATCAATCAATCATATTTTTTCTGTCCTTGTATTTTGGCAGAATTTTGTTCTTTATGTATTGCTATATTTTTCACTGCAAGAGACAACTTCAAATGAACTGTGTACAATATGACCTCTGGATGTTATATAGAAATTTCATCTTGTTTCTCAAACTGCTTATCTTTCAGAGATACTGTACATGGGAGAATGTGGCTGAAAGAAAACTACTAAGGAAATTCATTTTACATTATACACCTTTTCTATGTAGCTTCATACATGATTAATGTGGGTGGCATGGTGGTGCAGTGATTAGCATTGCTGCCTCACAGTGCTGGGGCTCTGCATTTAGTTCTGGACCTGGAGTGCTATCTGTGTGGAGTTTGCATGTTCTCTCCTTGACTGTGTGATTTTCCCCCTAGTCTAAAATATAAACTGGTAGGTTCACTGGCCCTGGTGTGAGTGTGTGCATGTCTGTGTGTCGGTCCTGCAATGGACTGGTGTCCCATCCAGTATATACCCTGCCTTCTGCCTGTTGCTTACTGGGATGGACTCCAGCTGCTCTGTGACCCGGAATTGAAAGAAGTCGTTAGAAAATTAATGACTGCATGACTAAATAGCTCATTTTAATACATTTCTTATCTGACATTATTTGGTAACACTGTGTTGTTTGGTCATCTGGAATAAATCTGCAAATGGGGAAATTTGAGAAAATAGAAATTAATATGATGCTCTTCAAGCCCAAAGCAATGAAAATGTAGGGTCCATACATAAATTACTGTATTAATTTAATTTAATTGTTCAAATACTTTGAATTGTTGTCATGCCTTGCCATGCAAATGAAATAAAACAAGGCTACATGTGAATCCAACTTCCCCATAATGTGTTTTAGATACTTTTATTTAGCCCACCCTCGTGTTACTCTGATTTATAATATATATATATATGACCTCTGTTGGGTGTTATTACCACCCCTGAAGATTTTAAAGTTTGGACGTGCTGGAATCCCATTCTAGCTAAAAGGAAGTCTATATTAACATACAGGTGAAAGACATTGTATATTTTCTTAATGTGAAATCATAGACTTAAGCCCTGTAAATGCTGGCTAACATTTTAAACCCACTTACAAAACAATTATACACCCATGGTACCAATTGTGCCACCTGGCAGTTTTCTAAAATCCGTACACTTCAAGTAACGGAATTTTAAACACAGTCAGATAACTTTGGATTTAAAAAACTTTTGATCAAAGTAAGATTTAAAATTTCAGTCAAGAAATAATAGGATCTCACTTCATGCATCTCAATCAATTGTCATCAAAAACCCATCTAATTTGGATGCATATCCAAGGTAATCTCTGGATATATGCTAGGATCAGGGCAGATGATACTCTTCTCTCCCGTGGTGTACACACTCCCCTCATGTGGGTGAATAGTTCTAATGCCAATGAAAACACCAGGGAGGTGAAGTGAGGAAACCACCAGCTGCCAGAAGACACTGAGTCCACATGTATATTAAGGAACATTGGTCAGTCCTCTACCAACAACACTTCCTGCAAGAGTCATACATGAAATTACTGGATAAACATCACGCTCACTCAATGATCTTAAGAAAGCAACCGTATTATTTGAATGAATGATTGTAACAGAACAGGACAGATCTGTAATTAAGTGCCATGTTCAGGAAAGTGCTAGTTTACGTTTGCCTGCTCAGCTATAGCTCAAACAAAGAGAAAATACAAACAGGACTGTGTCATAAAAATAACCACCACATACAAGCTAAATGAATGCCTTGTAGTGGAAGTGTAACCTTGTGCACTCCTGGAGTATTTCAAAGAGGAAGGCGGTTAATAGGTTATTACCATTCACTTACTGGTCCAGTCTGTGAAACCAGATGTAGATCACAAAGACAGCTGAGAAATGCATGTTTGATTTGAAAGGTTTTATTTTTCTTTCCAGCACGTTGCTATAACCAGACGATC